AGAAAACGCAATGAGAATTCTTCTCGTCTAACACGGACCAACTCTTCGACAAAACCACCGCAATTTCTCTTAAAGGCGTTGGCATGCCGGTAGACACGACGAGCCGCCCGATCGAGATACTATCGCGAAACGAGTTTTAATATCGGCGCATTCGAATCGCTCGAAAAGCCAAGGGGGAAAAAATTCTGCGGTCAACCCGCCGGAAAACACTTCACACTGTGACATGTCAGCCGACTCTGTTTTCGCGTGTTGCGTTTCCTTCCTTCATCTCTCTCCCTCTCTTCTTTTTCATTCAATTGTGAACTTGATGTGACCTCTGTCAGTTATTAATTAATAACGACAAATGAAGAATTTACGATTTATTACTTTGTGATTTCTTTTCTTGTTTATTGAAATCGAAGGAGATCAAGGATTTTGTTCTGAATTTTGTTCTCGTGTCAGAATATTCTTTATAATTTCAAATTCAATTATCTTTCTTTAGAAATTGCGCAGAATTGTTCAGCAGAATTGCAAAATCACATGGAACAATATAATTTAAACAATATTCATAATTTAACCCAGATTGCAAGTATTACGATTCGTCATCTGTATACGAAATTTTTTACAATTTTTATTAATCGTAGACGTGGGTCAAGGTTAATCATGTTTCTCGATCCATCCTGCGTTTAATTTACCTCGAGTGGAAAATGTAATTTATACTTGGAATAACTCGTAATATTATATTACTTGAATTTATACTTTACAAATCAATCGTGTAATAGTAATAGTAACAGCATTATCAAGTTACTCATTAACACGATGTATGAAATATTGTACCAAATCGAAAGACACGATGACATTGATTGCCACATAGTACAACTAAATTTCAGTTAACAAGCTAATTTCTAAATTCTATTCAATTTTATTGTATGATACAATCCTTTCTTCCTTATGAAAAAAAAAGTATTCGAATTTTTCCAATATGAAATTTTCTAGACAGAATATCGTTAACATCTATGATTAAAAAGATCAACAATTTACATTTTACAATTTGGAAAATTACACACTTGCGTATATCGTTTATGAAATTGTTTCCTGCACTAAAAACAGTAACGATAATAAATTTAATGATGTGCGGTGATTCGGTTTTTATTACTAGATTGTTGCATCTGATTTCAAGGAAAAGAAGATAAAGTACAATTACGGTTATGCATGTAAATATACATAAAAAGGGGGGATTCTATTAATATTAGTTAAATAGAACGAGAGATAGCATCGTAAATCTTTTTCACGCCTTTCATTGCTCTTACATTTTTTAAACCATTTAATTTCTTTATATACTAACATATAACAGATACATCGTATAATATTAAATTTTTCGGGTGCTCGTCGAACGTGCGAGGAAAAAGGAAATCGACGAATTTAAACGAACCTCTCCCCTTTGAAATTTAATCCTCAAGGATGAAGGCGATGTAACGCTTGAACTTGAGCAAGAAAAAGAACTGGACGTGGGCGACACGGGTGAGAATTCTTCTGGGAGAACAGCGATCGCGCGTAAACGAAGGATTTAGAATGACGCGGTGACGATTCGCTGCAAATAAACTCGCTGGCACAACCAACAGGGATGTGATGTCACCACCGAACGAGTACCAATGTCGTTTACTTGTAAGAAAATTTCGCGCGGATATCTAACCAGCTTCTAC